GGGCATGGGCCTACTACGTAAAATACAATAATAATAATAATTGAATCTTTAAAAATGTTAAATAATGTTAAAGTTCAAAGAACTAAAAGAAGTATATATCTATTATTATCTCTTAATTGATTGACGTCGTTACGTGGTAGAGCCACGCTGCAGTTATATTATGGTTGCACGAACGCCTCGACCGGAAAAGGATCACGCTCTCACAGAATACCAGCTGGTAGCTTACTGTTGCTGTGTTCGTATGGTGAGTGTAGAGTACTTGAGAATTTTGACTAGAAATGCGGCATTCCATCTTAGTCCTCAAGGGTGAAAATGCATCTGCATTTTGATTCTTAATCGCAGTTGGCCACAGCATCCACTTACCAACAGGTGGACTATGTGCTCTTTGTTTACCCTTAATCTATAAAAAAATGTCCAGTGTCCACCAAATTATTAAAAAATGTGTATCAAAACGTACAATTAATAATAAACCGTTCAAAATTATCAGAACGGGTTTTTTTCAATGTAAACAAAACACACTCTATTGATAACCAGTATTATGTGACGTTTGCGTCTTGGGGAAAAAACTACAATTGATAATAGCTTTAAAATAGCGCGTTAATTAACGTTAACAGAATGTGTTAATCTTTTATCAATGTAGCATATTAAAAGTTTAATTACCGTGTAGTGGCGGTGTAAGAATATCAACTACCCCATAACGATTAAAACAAAAAAAAACTGAGGTTGCCAACCCACTTGCTAAGCGTGGCAATTATGGCAAATATCTTCCCTATCAGGCAATCTATGGGGGAGGCTCTCACTAATAAACTTTAATAGGCTGTAACGGTAAGTTGTTGATCCTAGGTCAATCAAACTACTACACTACACTTTTAAAGAACTTTCTTTAATAATGAAAATATACGTATGTATGTATCTCTTTACAACTCTTTCTCCTCCTTCTCTTTAGAAGGTCCCCAAGTCGTATCGGTCAGGCAAATTACCGATGGTAAACGATTCCAAGAAAATAGTCGTAGGAAAGTAGAAAATTGAAATTTGAAAATTGAAAAACTACTTTTATTGAAAATTGCACAGTAGATTACAATAAAGAAGATGGCTGAGTGCTGTCATCTGCTTGCGATCCTTTAATTAATAATTAAATCCCAACCCAACATACAATTGCAAAACAAATTTTAATCTGTAGAAGAATTTTAATCTGGAGGTAGCCGTGGTGAACTATGACATTGAGACGTCGATCACCTCAGTCCCCACAATTTTTTATAAGTTAATGTACGCGATAAAATACGTAAAACCTAATTTTATCAGCCAGTCGTAAATATAAGAAATCGTTATTTTAAATAAAAGAGTTGTAGCATAAAAATTTTTTTGGTATTGCATAGGTAGCTGATTTATTTAATACTCCCATCCGACGTCGCAAGATTATGCAGTATGGTTGTAAAGAGCTATTTTACTTAATAATTTAATATAAATGAAAAATACATATTACGTACAGATTAAAAATATTTTTAATCTATATAACTGTTATAACAGAACTGTTATAACACTACTAAATGACAAATGTGACATCATTCATCTTATTATTTTATATATATAGCTTTTATTCACTTGTTTTTAACTGGCCAATGAACAGTGCATATGAAAACTTGTTTAAGAATAAATAATATTCGCTTGGTCGAGAAGTTGTTTTATTAAAATTAAAAACATATGCTTTGTATCTAATTTACAGAGTAATACTCGTGTTAGTGTTTTTTTTAATTTTCTATTAGCTCCTTACAAAGGTACGTATATTTTAATACTTGTTTTTTCTGAAAAAAAAAAAACTTAAACCGCTCGTCATTTTAGTTGTTTTCTATTTCGTTATGTGGGTAACGTAAGATGGGACAGAGGACAACAAACCAAGAGTTGTCAGTAGCTTTTTCCTTATAACAACTAAAAATACTGTGATTGACTTTGGCAATTATCCCCCCCCCCCCACCTATGAGGGAATATTCTATGCTTTGTAGGTTATGACATATCGCAAAAGATTGATAAGCTGAAGTGGCAATGGGCCCGCCATATAGCTCGAAGAACCGACAACCGATGGGGAAAAAAGGTTCTCGAGCGCCAGCCTCGTACCAGTAGGCGAAGTGTGTGATCCCCACTGGATGGAGCGACAACCTGGTAAGACATGGAAAGGACCACGCTCTCACAAAATACCAACGTAAACTGCCGTGTGTCGTATGATGAGTGTAGACTATGCGGAAACCCTTTTTACTAGAAACGAGATTACGTCTTAGTACTCTAGGCTGACAGAGGATTTTCATTTTGATTCATAATAGAAAATAAATATAGATGTCTATGGGCTCCAGCATCAACTCACCATCAGGTGGACGATATAAAAAATCTGTTAAATAATTTTATTCTACGCGTAGTGTTCGCGTATGTATAAGAAAAAATTATAAGTATATATTATTATAATTTCATTGCGGTATCGACACAATTCTATTTCACTATTAAGTTTGTT